TTATTTATTTACATTTCAGATGTTCTCTCCTTTCCCCATCCCTGCTCCCCAGAAACCCCCTATCTCATCCCCCTTTCTCCTGCTTCTATAAGGGTGTGCCTCCACCCACCCATTCCCACCTCCCTGACCTCAAATTCTCCCACACTGGGGCATCCAGCCTTCACAGGACCAAGGACCTCCCCATCAATGCCTGACAATGCCATCCTCCACTACATATACAGCTGGAGCCATGGGTCCTTCCATGTGTGTTCCCAAGCTCTGGAAGCTCTGGTTGTTATTGTTGCTCATCCCATGAGGCTGCAAACCCTCTAGTTCCTTCAGTCTTCTAACTTCTCCATTGGGAACCCCGTGATGGGTTCAATAGTTAGCTTCGAGCATCCGCCTCTGTATATATCTGTCAGGCTCTGGGCAGAGCCTCTAGGAGACACCTATATCAGCATGCACTTCCCTGGTATCTACAACAGAGTCTGAGTTTGGTGACTGCACATGGAAGGGATCCCCAGGTGGGGCAGTCTCCAGACAACCCCTCCTTCAGTCTTTGTCCCATTCTTTGTTTCCATATTTGCTCCCATGAGTGTTTTGTTACTCCTTCTAAGAAGGACCTAAGCACTCACACTTTGGTCTTCCTTCTTCATGAGCTTCATGTGGTCTGAGTTGTATCTTGGCTGTAGCAAACATTTGGGCTAATATCCACTTATCAGTGAGTGCATACCATGTGTGTTCTTTTGTGATTGGGTTACCTCACTCAGGATGATATTTTCTAGGTCCATCCATTTGCCTAAGAATTTCACGAATTCATTGCTTTTAATACCAGAGCAGTACTCTGTTGTGTAAATGTACATTTTCTGTATCCATTCCTCTGTTGAAGGACATTTGGGCTCTTTCCAGCTTCTAACTATTATAAATAAGGCTGCTATGAACATAGTGGAGCATGTGTCCTTGTTATATGTTGGAGCATCTTTTGGGTATATGTCCAGGAGTGGTATAGCTGGGTCCTTAGGTAATACTGTGTCCAATTTTTGAGGAACCGCCAGACTGATTTCCAGAGTGGTTGTACCAGCCTGCAATCCCACCAACAATGGAGGAGTGTTCCTCTTTCTCCACATCCTCGCCAGCATCTGCTGTCACCTGAGTTTTTGATCTTAGCCATTCTGACTGGTGTGAGGTGGAATCTCAGGGTTGTTTTGACTTGCATTTCCCTGATGACTAAGGATATTGAACATTTCTTTAGGTGCTTCTTGGCCATTCGAGTTTCCTCAGTTGAGAATTCTTTGTTTAGCTCTGAATCTCATTTTTAATAGGGTTATTTGATTCTCTGGAGTCTAATTTCTTGA